ACCTTTTTTAGTACTTCTGTTTTCTCCTTACACTTAACTCCTTCATCCAATGACTCCTGTACTTTAATCAATGATGTTTTTAACTTGCCTTGAAGTGTTTTAACTCTAGTTGTAAACAGCTCTGCTGCCTTCTCTGACAAATTGATGAAGCGACGTTCCTCAATTTCAGCTTCCCCCATTGGTTGGCTATCCATATTTCACGGTTCCAAATTATCAGAGCGAGATCTGGACAAGAGTATGTGGGTCCAATTCCTTTACTGTGCCTGCATGTTTCGGCCTTAGGCGATACACAGACAAACCCGAAGACTGCCGCATTTAGAGCGTGGCAATTGTATTGTTGTATTAAAGTAAAGGACTGTAACAAATAGAAATGATTAACAAATAAAGATGAGGTATGTCTATACTGACCTGAACATACTTGACAAATGCTTTACAATATTGTGAATTATTTCTACTATATATTCATGTACGAACAATACATGGCTCTAATAGAACCTCGATTACTAAGTTTAACAGTAATGATGTCACTAATAATTCGCCAAAGTCAACTCGACCGAAGAATTTGTATGAATTGTCATGGACAATGTAATTGGTCGACATGACTGACTAAACTGACGGAATTAACCACATGGCAATGCTTATTAACATCTCTATGACAATTGCATAACAGTCTCAATTACACAGTAAAATAACATGTTAATCATTACAAAGGTACACTAACATTATGGTATCAGAAACTTCCTGCTGATTACATGGACAAAGGGAAATAACTACCACCCTTAAGACCTTTCATTCCCATGACAATGACGGCACACGAGACTTGTATATACTGCGGCCAAAGTTTATTGTATATAGTAGTCGCTTCGTCCGTCCGTCTGTCCGTCCGTGTATCTGACAGCCGTTCCGAACAACTATAATTTCCGGAGTATATCGCAGCCGCTTTTGCATAAATGGGCGTCACACTTTGTATAAAGGTACGTCATTAGAAGGCAATGTGGCATATACTAAAATAACGTCAACGTGACCTGTTTTACCTTTACTCTTGACCTCGGGTAATAAAATGCATTAAAACATGTTCCTTCCACTTGAATGGGCATAAAGTTGCATATTAAAATGAGGTCATAATGACCTCTATTTGACCTTTTTGTGGTTTTGACCTAAAGTTCGTCGCCCCCTGCAGATCGGGGATCGAGATAATTAATACACCTGCTGTTACCCATTGCATGAATTGTCAGACGCAACTAATGTGGGAACGCCCTGCATAATCGGGGACTTGCATTTGTGCCCTCCACTTAAACATAAAACTAAATCTGCTGCACCAGTTGCAATAGTTGGGATCTTTATATTATCTCTCTACTTCTGACAACTAGTTATTTCCTAGCGCCTTGCTTGGCAATACTTCTCCTTTTATGTTGAACGTGCGCCCAGGTGAGAAAGGCAATGAATTCTGTCACCATGCCGGTACATGCAAATGTCCTTAAAAATGGTAGTTGTTATCCCCAGTTTAATGGTCAGTATTTATGAAAGTGGAAACTGATTCATTCGTTGTTAGTATAATGTAACCGAGCGGAATGCTGTGCTTGGTGCCAAGGAGGAAAATACACCAACATACCCTTCCTCCGGCACTCATGCACATATGCACACTTGCACGCATACATAATATACATGTTCACAACAGATGCAACCTCCTTTAAACCTACAGAAGATTACCTGAAAGGATACAATAATAATACAAAAACATGGCTGTTGCAAAACCAATGCAAATTTAAGAATCAATCGCACCTTTAGTTAAAAGAGTTAAAAAAAATGAAAAAAATCATGAAATCTGCATAAAAGGGTGTATAACAGGGTGTCGTTCTAACCCCCCTATCTTTTTGTTTTCCCTGGAAACATATTTTGATTTTTTATGATTTGTAGCAAGTTATTGTATATACCAATTTAAAAAAGAATTTGTCGACACATTTTTTTTCTATTCGACTTTACAATCATTTTTTGTAAAAGTGATTAAAAAGGGTAGCCATTTTGATTTTTTTTTATATTTATCATATTGTTCTTAGTTAAATTCAAAAAAGAAAATATATATTTTTTGCGGGTACCTTAATGACTTAAAAAGGGCAAAAAATGACATTTGGCGGACTTCAAAGGGGGGTAACTCTTTCAAAGGATTTTTTTTAAAATAGCCTGGAAATCTATTCTCAAATTTTGATATTTTGTTAGGTACACCCCAAAGAACAATATTTGCGAAATTAAAAAAAAATCATTGTCTATATTTATTTTGCCTCTAGTGTCCTTCTCTACCTTAAATAATTCGAAAAACGTGGCCGGTTTCCTTTTCATAACCAAAGAATTTCCAATTCAACCCACAAAGTCGTTCATATATCCCTGTTACAAGACAACAATCAATTTGTTACACTTTGACAAAAACATTTATCAAATTAATCATAAGTTTAATCTTTGTTTCGAGAATATATCATCACAAATCTTATATATTATAACCATTTTAAAACAGCTAATTATGTTGTGAATTCCTCAATGTTTGATTATTATGAAAATTTGACATTTGTTTTGGTTTTGTGAATAAGCTATTAAAACGAGGGTTTAACTGATATGATACCATAACTTATATTCTTGATGTTCTACTTTCAAGTTGTAACCTGATATGTCTCCGAAAGAAATATCCTTCTAGGGGAGAGGCTATTTACGTTCAGTGTGACTATGCCATGTGGTATTATACCAAAGCATACGCATAACTGACAAATGATAAGACAAAGAAATTACTCTATTTTTATTAACTAAAGCAGTTAGGAAAAAGAAGGCAAATGGGATACAAAGTAAGTTATAAACATCGTAGTCAAACAAGCGCCTTTATACATCTAAAACAATCAAACAAACTCAAAACAAAACCTTTGTCATTGTAATCAAACAGGTGTTAGTCACACATTGTTATCCAACAAGCGTTTTTCATCAATCGTAATTTTAAAAAGGGTTTGTCAAGCATCGTAATCTAACATGTTGTAATCCATCGTAATCCAACATATGTTTGCTCTACGTCGTAATCCAACAGATGTCCATATGTCAGTCATAATCCAACAAGTGTTTGACACAATTTACAATCGTAATTTAACAAATGTTTGATATGCATATCATTATTTATCATTTTACACACTATAATGACCATATAAGATATGGTTATATACAGATGACAAAAGACACCGGGAACAAAAATTGTCCGTACATGAGATACAAAAAACAAAAAAGTTTTTTTCATGTCCTAGCTATAGCCAAGCCGAATTGTGCGACCTATGAAGATTGGATGAAGTTTACAGTAACCTCTTCATTTGGTACTAGAGTTGTACAATGGTGGAAGAATAAAATAATCACTACATTCTAAAAATCTAATACATGTCAAAAAAACCTAAAAAAATGAATTATCATTCCATTAGTTACAATGAAAATGTGAAGGCCATATATCTTATTATTTGTTTTTTTTTATTTATTTTTTGAACACTTTTAGATAAGTCAACATTGTGAATTGATAAACAAGCTAACAATTTGATCTGAAACGCCATTTAACGTAGAATGATATCTGTATATAAATCTCCGATGCAAAACCAGAGGCAAAGATTATCTTATGCTTTGAACGGGGATAATTTTGCGTCAGGATTGCTTCGCGTTGGATAAATTTTGTGGTTTAAAAGAAAATGCGATACACCAAAAACATGACCAAGAGCATTTAGCAGTGACCTGCTGTACGTTTTTCAGCTCATCATAATGCGAGTTAAGCACGGGAATAATTATTTTTTTCGTATTGAAATTACTTGTGAAAAGAAAGTTCTACGGGGAGATATTACAACATTTGCTCTTATCTTAGATACTAAGCGTGCATTTAGTCTCACTGTAAAAGTTTTTGTATTTTGTATTGATTTACAGCCCATCGGCAATTAGAGTCATTTAGGGCCAAACAGCAGTGTAAAAAAAGTTAATCACAAAAAACTGAATACATAAAATCAAGAAACAAAAGGTTAAGATCTGTAAGTATGTCAAAATATATCAAAAGTAAACGAATTGTTTATAAAATATATCTTATCTTATAGAGATTAATTGAATGTAAATAATCATAGATTGATTGCACAGAAACTGTATCAAAAAAAGTTTCATAGAGATAGCGTCATTTTAAGAATTATCTACTGAATTATTTGTGCAACAAGATAATCAGAATATTGACAACAATATTGCAACAAAAATAGGCATATGTTCTATATTACTCAGAAAGAGAAAAAAAATAACTGTAGGTTTGGCCGCTTTGGACTACATACTGATTATAATTTGACTATAGGTCTGAAAACGTCAAAATCTACTTTTCTGATTTACCGTTTGATAAATCCCTTTTAAAGGGATCGTATACTATGTCAGTTCTAAGAATTATATCATAACAAAATCTAGGTTTTTGAAATGTACATTGGCATAACACTGTGTAAAGAGCTTCAAATGACTAAATAACAGTGTACAACACTATATCTAGATATTCATACGGCAATCAAGTGTAACTTTGATTGTAAGACAATATAACAATTCATGCATTACTCTGAATTATACCGCAATAATATTTACTATGGATCCTGTACAGTGTTCAGTTGAAGACCTAAACGTAACACAAGGACTGTGCGGTCTTCAATCTGATATTAAAGCTTGTATACTGCATGTATATGCGGTCTATAACCAATATATATATATATTTTACCTACATTGTATATTGCAGACCAAATCTAATTAATACACTATTCTATGGGAGTTATCCCCCTTCCCCCACACACACCATATTTTATATAATAACCTCTTAATTATGTAAATATCTAATTAGATTTACAAATGTTAATTTTTGACAGTAAGCAAAATCTTATTATTATAAATTCAATCCATTATGTCCATATAACTACCATCAATGGAGAGGACTTATATAGGCTATAAGCCTGTTGTCCAATCCTTTTGACAGTGTAACATTCTTTTATGTCAATAAAATATGTTGAAATGAAAATAACAATTCACATCTGCTGTATATAAAATGGAAGATTTCACAAGTAATATGTTCTAAGCATGTGACGTAATATTCAAAACTCATAATAAAAATACACAGTTGCAAAATCACACAATTTTTGACATCTACATGTACATAAAAATTGAAAATCAAATCAATAAATAGTTAAAACTATCTCTCACCGATTGGTGCATAGAGGCTCAATAGCAAAGTAAATAACAAAATCAGACAGCCTATGTTTCGTTGATAATTCAATTTCGTTATTTTCACATGATGGTATAACAACTTCACCATATGAACCATTCTTATTAGCTGTAGTCCTGATAAAAGGATATTTTCAGTTTCGGGCTTTTTAAATAATGCTTTTCCTTCCGAATCACCAGCAAGGAAGAGAATTGCGAATAAAAGTATGAAAAGCTATATATAAAGATATCTGGAATAATAAAATCCTCATCGGAGATTCATTTTAAATTGTAAAAAAGTCACCATGAAAATTGGGTAAATCACACGCATATACAAAACACAACTTTGTTTCGTTCTGTTGTGTTGTCTGAACTGTTAAATGTTAGTACTTTGTTGTAAGTAACATTTCTATGAGAAAAAACATCTTGTTCCACTAACATTGTGTTATAAGGTTCGGCTGAAAGTGTCAGTGAACCTGTTAAAACATATATCTATCTTATATATGTATATGTGAGAAGTAATGTGTGTGAATGTCCAGAGTGACATGAATATTTTTCACACGTTCATACTTTTCTTCCTAATCATGGTGACCAAATCTTCGCTGTTGTATGCCAGTCCATCCGACAAACCTTCATCGCGGTTAACAACCTGCCAATGGTTGCCTCCGACTTGAATGTATCTATCCAATACCAGAGGAGAGCACTCATTCTTGCCTGGAATGTGACAGGATGGCCAAGTTCATGCTGCTCTATTATTGGAGGTGGCAATCCGAGCTCAATGCACAGGTTGAAGAACGTGCTGCCAACATTGGTGACGATTTTCTTTATCTCAGCATTAGTCGGGGTTCTATTACAGACATCGCTTGGGACCATATCTGCAAAACAGACAATTTTTCTTTATGTCATATAACCTGGTAAATTATTCATAAATCAATTAAAGGGAATACTACAAAGATACATTGTACACCTGCACGGTATTTTATTTTAAAACGAATTGGAAACAGCGAAATTGTACAGCCATTTCCTCCTATATTTCCTCATGAACAGTTTTCAATTTATAAGCAAACTTTCACAAATGTGGACAGAGTAAACCAAGGCTTCTTCAATTTTCAGACTGTTCCCTTTATTGAACCGTTCAATGTGTATGTATTTCAAAAATGAAATCTGTAAAAGCTGATTAGACTTCAGCATGGAATCAATGCCAAGCGTTCACAGAAAATTTATTTTTGCACCCACTCAAGTGGACTAACTGAAAGGCCTGACCAAATTAGAAAACATTCCTTAAATACCATAGAAACATACATATGCTGTATCACAACACGTAGTTTATGTTTACATATATCGTGTTTATAATAAGGTACATGGGTATTTCTTTCTCTAACCTTGATCATGTGATTCCTCTTCAGTTTCTAACACTTCGCAGACACTATCAGCTGCCAAGTTAACCGCCATCATAGCTCGCTGGATGTCCTGGAACGTCTGATTCGGGTAAGTGTTTGTCCATTTGAGAAACATCTTTGTAATCAGTGTGATTCCCGCCAAGCTTTGTGACTCCCATTTGGTGGTCTGGATCTCTGGGTAAGGAAGACCAAGCTCAACAAAAAGGCACTCACAGCTGGATGCATCGACCAGACGAGACAAACGGCCAAGTTCCCTTGGTGACGGCCTTCTGTTAGAGATGGCATTGTCACCCTCCGTTCTAAACAAACCAGAGGACAATTTATAGTCAGACATGTTAGAGTTTGTGAACGAGAATTAAAAGACAACATTTGAAAATGTCGATGGGTGGTATAGCTACTACTGTAACAAGTTTTACAGTAGTGCTTCCCAATAACCTGTTCTATATATATATGACACATGCATTGAAGTCGAATATGCACCTAACTGTGTCAGGTTTTTGCCACTGCCACTACTACGAATAATTTCATATTTTGCGAAGATTAGAGAAATCCTTTTTCACGAAATGGCATGCAGGCATCTTTAAAGATCTATAAAAGCAGAAAGGCAATTTTAATTATGCGTATATTGTTCTTCGCTAGACAAAAAATTGTGGTTTAATGCAATGCAGTTTTTGTAACTTTCTCACCGAAATGACAGGTTTTCGGAAAATGAGGATGCACTTTTTCTTTTAAATCGTTCGCGCATTAGCTTTCAATGTACACTGTAATTAAACGGTTAAAAGAACGTGATTTGATAATGATTCACGTTTTTGGTTCTCTTTGACTAGGCCCGGTCTCGCCATGGGAAACAGGCTAGTATCGGTGAACCAGTTTCTTACTATATCATCTCTCAAGCCCATATTTTAACGGTGAAGTAAGCTCGACTTACGGACAGTGTTCCTTACATCTGTTTTTTGTGTACTGATGTCAATGAATGTGACGCAATTTAGGAACAAGATATATTGTCCTGATATTGACCATATATTACACGTTACGGAGCTCAATTCCCACAGCATTTTTAGAAGATATCCGTTATATTGCCATAACCCACTCATCGGTGCGCCCGCCATTTTTGTTTTGAACCTGAAAGTTTTCTGTCATCACATTCTGAGCACGTCAGATTCTGCTTTATGTACGTTGATGACGAATGATGACTATTTATTTGTTTTCTGCATCGGTTTTTGCCGCGAGTTTCACAGGATATTGTAGCGTTCTCGAAGTGTTGATTATTTATTCTCGCTGTTGAGATATGGAACCCAAACGCCGAACGACTAGGCCTACTCGATACAACCCCGAATTAATTAAAAACTGGATGCTTTCCCGGCTAAAAGAAGCTTGTGAGGAACTAGGAATTCACGCTCAAGGTAACGCTCGACGATTTGTTCTCGTTCGTTTGCTGCGTGCCAACGATAGGATTTCCCCCGTTGCGGGCCCCACGCTTGAAGGTGCGCGATCCCAAGATGCACAGCGAAGCGGAAGTGACAATAAAGATGGCGGCGCCCATGATACGAGCTTTCTACAGGCATTTAGAGATTGCTTATATGCAGAAGAACATTTTCATCTCTAAATGACAAGTAAATGCTTGTCATTTAGAGATGAAAATGTTCTAAGTAAATGCTGTCCCTGCAGGTAGGGCGTAAGAATTGTACCTGCTGCCCCCAATTGCATGATCGTAAGAGGCGACTAAATTTGGGACCTTATCTCTTCTCTCCTTTCTAAATAACTTTCTTCTTCCTAATGTCTCCCTTGACAATGCCTCACTTTTGGCCATTTGTTGAGCGTTCGCCCCTGTGAGGAAGGCTTTGGGTTCTGTCCCCTGGCCGAGACATACCAAAGTCTTTAACAATGGTAGTTTCTACTCCTGCTTAACGCTCAGCAAATTAGGAGTGGGACGACTGGTTCGCCCGTTGTCAGTATAATGTGACCGGGTGAGGCGTCCTGCTGGGTGTCTTCGGCAGTATGTTTCAGTGAGGTAGCACTATAAAGTCGGCATCAGTTCCGCGCTATCACAAGGAGATAAACACGAACATATCGCAGCCTCCCAAAATACACACGCATACACTACACGCATGCATCTTGCACACAGGGGAGGCCGTCCTTAAATGACCTTAGCTGTTAATAGGACGTTAAACAAAATCAAACAAACAAACAAAAACAAGTAAATGCGCTAACAAATAACAATAATTGATTACAAACATGTACAGATATGACTGGCGGTCAGAGTCCCGGGGTTAATTTCAGCGTACGAGCGGTTTCATATTTTGTCATCAATGTATATTGTGTATAAATATAGTCTATATTATAGATTTATGTCTGAAGTGAGTCTGTATCTTTGTACCTGCAGATGTAGTCCCTCTGTTATTCACGTTTCCATACCTGCTAGGGGGGCATCTCCCGAGTCAAGTACACATTCTTTACACTCACTTTTCCTTTGTGATTCGAATTGTGTATAATGCATTTGAGACCGCTAAAATGGCTACTGTATCTGGTGGATTACTCCACCTTTTTTTGTCTGTACAAGAGTGAGTCTTTGTACCTGCAGACGTAGCCCCCTGTTAGTCACGTATTGCCTTAATACGTGCGAGTGGGGATACCTCCTGAGCTTTGTACATGTACTTACATTCACGCTTACTTATGTATTCACACGCCTGGTGGGATCGCTCGCTAGGCTACATTTCTTTTTCTGTCTTACATAGCAGTGTCGCCTGCCGCGTGTCGATATCGCTCGATGAGTTAGTATTTATATGCAATTTGTATGTAAAGTACTTTGTGTTGTTTTAAACAGTCAGATTTTCACAAATAAAACACCAAATGTTTGTCAGTACTGCAGCAGTACCTTACATCAATCTTGTTTCTGCCCATGTTCCCCCGTAACTATGGCAACATTAACAGACACAGTCAAACAGAGTCCTCCAGGTCAGAGAGGTAATCGTAATAAGACAGAATCATCTACAGATACTTACTGTCGCTTTCGTGTATTCCATGATGGTAAGGAGCTGTGCACCAACTTTAATGGTGAAAGGGGCTGCAATTCAGCATATTGTAACAGTTCCAATCCGAACAAGAAGAGATAGCGTTAATAGCGTCTACACCTATTAATGTTGACGTTTTAAGGCAGGAACTGCAGGAAAGGGAATTTGTAGAGGATTTGCTGCACGGCCTAACTTTGGTTATATGATGACACAGGTTTTCAGCTCATTCCAGAAGCCTAATTTTGGTGTAAGAATTTGAAGTCTGCTTTAAAGAATAAAAACTGTGTGTCTTCTTTGATTCAAAAAGAAGTTGACAAAGGATTCTAATAAGTCCTTTCACACAAATTCCTCTTAAAAGCTACCTATCAACCCGCCATGTGGTCTATCTTCCTCAGCTCATGGAATGGAATTCCTTTCTTTCTGGATGACAACGTTACCTTGGCTACTGACTTGCATTTGTATACAGATGCTACCCTAAGTGCTTTTGTAGGCATTCTTGGTCGCAGTTGGTTTCAAGGATCTTTTCCCCCTTCACAACTTGAAGAGGATACTTCTATGGCCTTATTTGAACTTTGTCCCATAGTGATGGCTTGTTGTTTTATGGGGTCATTTGTAGTCGTGAAAAAGAATCTTATTTCACTGTGACAACCTTGCTATTGTTGACATTATAATTCAAGGTAGATCTAAGGTTCAAAGTATTATGACACTTATGAGACGTCTAACTCTCCATGGCTACACACAATTGTTATTCATGCTATACATATTGAGGGCAAAATAAATATTGTGGCCAACTCTATTTCTCGTGAGCAGATGGACAGATTTCGAACGCTGGCCCCTTATGCCCATTATCAGCCTACCCCGTGCCTACCAGCCCACGAGGTCATGATGCCATGAACATTGATTTTTGGTCACATCAGATGAATGCTTTTGGTAAATAGGTAACACTTTGATGTTATTGTTAGCACAGTTATGAATATGTTTGTTCACTTGTAAAAATCTAAGGTCATCATGAATTGTTTGTTGCTTGTGAAGAGTCATTCTTTGACGTAGTTCAAGCCCTGTTTGGCCAATATAAAATTCCAAACATTTAACACAAACTATAGCATATATAACATTCTTCGACTTACCAAATGCATTCATCTCTTGTGATAAAGAGGGAAGTTAAGGAGTCGGAGTTAATGAAACTGTTGAAACCCAGTCTGAATAGTTCACATTAAATTCAACGTGTCATGATTTAAGCAACTGCTGTGCTTTAAATATTATTGTTCATATTTTATTGTTGCCGTAAAGGAAACAATTTGTATCTCCCGTATTTTTTATTGTTGGTAAGATCATATATTTATGCATTTGTCTAAGTATTGTGACGTCACAACTAAGCTTGTATTGTTGTTGACCTCATGGATTTATGTGTATGCCTTCTGTGACGTCATAATGACTTTGCATTATTGATGACGTCATACTTTCTTGTGTAAACAACTATGACCTCACAATGCCTGTTTTCAAAATAAACAGTCTCCTGATGAACGGGGAATCAACCCGAGAAAGGCCTAGAGACGCTTTCTCTGTCTTTTGTTTTATTTTTTTATATCTAATACCAACATAAGGACTTCTCAATGTTTTCTTTATAGTCTACATTATAGATTTATTGTCTGAAGTGAGTCTGTATCTTTGTACCTACAGATATAGTCCCCCTGTTAGTCACGTTTCCATACCTGCTAGCGGGACACTTCTCAAGTCACGTACACATTTTTTACACTCCCTTTTATGCATTTGAGATCGCTCAAATGGCTACTGTATCTGGTGGACTACTACAACTCTTTTGTCTGTACAAGAGTGAGTCTTTGTACCTGCAGACGTAGCCTCCCGTAAGCCATGTATTGCCTTAAATACCTGCGAGTGGGGTTACCTCCTGAGCCATGTACTTACATTCACGCTTGCTGATATTCACACGCCTAGTGGGATCGCTCGCTAGGCCACATGTCTTTTTCTGTCTTACACAGCAGAGTCGCATGCCTCGTGTCGAGATCGCTCGATGAGTTAGTATTAATATGTATTTTGTATGTAAAGTACTTTGTTTGTTTTAGGTCATATTATGTTGAGTAGTTTAAATTACTTATGAGCAGCCCCCAAGAATGCCAAAATAATAATCTTATTTTTTTATAACTGAACAAGTCACTAGTTTCGAACCTTTAATACATTTTCTTGAACTATAATTACTTTTGTTTTGTTGTGTATAAATTAATATTAAAATGTATTATTATTTCAAAATCACAATGTTTTATGCTAGTATTGCTGTAACATAATAATGTTTTATGTTACTATTGTTTTAATATTACAACGTATTATGTTATTATTGTTTTTATATTACAATGTATTATGGTAATATTGTTATGATATTACAATGGATATGTAATTTTTGTTTCAAAATTACAATAGTATATGTTACAACTCTTACTGCTTGTTGTTAGTGGTTCTTGTTTCAATATAACTGTATTAGTATTTTGACGGCTTTTGATTTATCACTTATACCTATGTTATTGTTTGTGTTTGTTACCTTGCGCCATACAGTAACTTACTCTAATGTTATGATTCGAGGTTTGTTGCTGTTATTTGTAGACTAATGTGTTGTAATGGGATTTTATTACCGTTTAATTGCAATGATTGTGAGGTGGTTTGATTTTCCAATCTGATATAAACCTTTTTAATACTTTAAATAGTTTATTGAGAAGAGATGCCTTCAAAAGCAAACCCCGTTTCCGGGATTAACCGATGCATAAAATGATCTATATTTCTGTTCCTTTACTGCACTCCAGTGAAAACGCTGTCCTCTGTATAAAACATAAATCATAGAGTAGCAGTGGGGAGATTAAACTGATATAAATGTTCAAGAATTCCAATTACAGAAAATTGTCATGATAAACCACTAAGATTGTTACGTAAGAGCAAACATTTACATTAACATTTGACATTTATCAACACGCCGGATCAGAGAACAGCAAAAACTACACCACGAAATCATATATAGAAAATTCTACCCCTTTAATTTATTGTGTACTTAAAACCGGTTTACAGAATTTGTTTTATCGGGTGCAGTCATCATGAAATTTGATATTTACTTGAGAGGAACACATAACTTCACATTCCATTTAGTATACAGAGATGGGTTCGTCTTTGCTGTTTGACAACTTGATTGCTCAGCTTTGCATCGCTCTGATCCTGTTGTTTACAGTTAAAAGGTTATATATACAATACGTGACCCTCCCTCCCGGACCGACTGGATACCCTGTGATCGGTTGTCTACTAATGCTGAGAAATGTCGTTCCATCACGTCTCTACAACAAACTTTATAGGAAGTATGGTCCGATCTACAGCATGAAGATGGGATTGAAGCTTTTTGTTGTCGTTAGTGGTTACCAGGCACTTCGTGATGTCTTCATAAAGCATGCAGGTCACTTCTCAGACAGACCAGATATGTACATGTTTAGTGACGTTTTCAAACGCAAAGGTACGTATGCAATCCATAGATCTAATGGTAGTGAACTGAAATATACAGTTGGAAATAGATTTCAGTAATATTTAGCATATATATATATATATATATCTTTTTGATAGGAAACGAGGTTCTAAGCTATTTGTGTAAAGTATGATACTAGTTTATAATCTAGTAAGCATCAAGTATGTTACACAATAAACGCTTAACTAACGCAGATGCATATCGAGACATGTACAGCAAATGGAGTGTATGATATTTGCAAGAGAGTTGTTTTAGCAAAAAGGACAATTTAAGGGAACGTACGAAACGAAACATCATCAATGTCACACAATAAGTGGGATCAAGTAAAAATCGAACACTACCTAAAAATGTTTTCAAATAAGGATGAATAATTTAAAGGTTTTACCTGAGCTTGATCATCTTCATTATAAATTTATGACGGTGTTAGAGAAAATGAGTCATTTTTTTCAATACCCCAGAGTCCGGGACATTAGAGTCCGAGATCTAGGCAAAAATATTGCCTAGGCAACCTGTATTGTCCTAGGCAAAAGTCATGCATACTAACATACATGCTTGTTCCCTGTACAGAGAGTATCTACAAACATGTAGCAATATAAAATGGGTTTTCCCTTATTTCAAATCAATAAATGTAGATGTGTTCCAAAAGTATGAATGTAATAGTCAGGGTTTGGGTTTGCAGTGTTTAACGTTCTATCAACTGCTAGGCTAATTTATGGGGGTGTATTGTGCATGCATGCATGTACATGTCTGTGTGCAGGAAACAGGGTATGTTTGTGTACTTGACCCTTTTGAAAGCGCAAACTATGTAGACTTTATAGTGTTTTCTCATTGAAATACCATGAAAAAGGCACGCAGCACAGCATTCCGCCCAGTCAGATTATACTGACAACGGGCGAATCAATTGTTGTATTACTCTAAATGCTTAACGTCATGCAGGGAAATAACTTTAATTTTCAAGATCTTTGAACAGAGCCCATTGCTTTCCTCACCTGGGAGAACGTTCAACAGTAAAACCAATAGTAAGGGTTCAATAGTTAGGCATTTAGTTAGTCAATTACGGAATAGTTAGGCAAATAATTGTCAGGTGTGCAATAGTTAGGCAAATAACAATCAAGTATGTAATTCTTAAACCTGTTATAGGATAGTCTTCAATCGTTAAACTTGAAAGTATCAAGTGTGAAACAGGTAGGCGTGTAAAAGTCAGATTTTTATGTTGCTTTATAGGAGAGCGAAGAGTGTATTTAGTAAATAAAACTGTTAATGTAGGATCAATCGTCATATCTCTTACTGTGTCGACACACATAATACAGAAAAACCTACGCAGTGTGATGGCTGTATATGATAGTATGCGTGATGACTACAGGTATTGAACAACAGCTTATCATACTATCTTAAAATTGAGAGTGATAAATGGTTCGCTGTTTGATGTTTTAGCAATTATATATAACTTAAATTGTATTAGAATTTACATATGTTGAAATACGTTGAAATGTGTTAAAAGAAATGTTAAAATAATTCTCCTATAAACATACATGCATAATAAATACAATATGTTGTTGTTTGGAAAGATAATCATCATATCTAAAGGTTTCACAAATCCGTAAACTGCTTAATTTAGAGTGATCTTATACTGTTAAAACATATATTTGCACGGGTCCATATTTCGGTGTTACACCAAAAAACACAATTTTGTGGGTACATGATTTTGTTGATATCAACCACTCATTCAAACGAAAAAAAGCTTCATGTCAAACCCGTAATGACAAAAATGAAAACCCCAAGAAAATAAGTGATTTCACAGTATGCATTGTAATAGGATGTACTAAAATAACTAAAACACCGACAGGTCAGTAAGGGCCCCGACTTGTGGCAATATATCCCCCATAATCATCAAGAAGCTGAGCTTGACGTTTGACATTTGGACGTCAAAAAGAATCGCAAGGAAGCAAAATATACATTTTACATGTACTATGATCCGAGTATTGTTCCCTTCCACCTCCATATTTGCTGGGCTAACAGAAATGTAAATGCCGGCGAAATACTCATTTGTTAGCTTTGATTTGTTTTATTTCACCTTAAATACCTCTCACATCAAGAGCCAGAGTCAAAGTCAAGAGATCCAATTTGTCTTTGACCTTTTGACCCAAATAAAACTGACCTTCAACCCAGTGACCCTGATATTTGGTCAGTTGACCTTTTCTTTAATTCCGACCAACTTTGCTTCATAATATCATAATAAAATGTTCATCAGTGAAAAATACAAAACTTGACCTTGACTTTGAACCTTTGGACCTCATAACCTGGACCTTTGGTCGGTTGACTCCATGTAAAAACTTTGCTTCATAATAACATAAAAAATGTTCATCAGTAAAAATAAACAAAATTCGACCTGGACCTTTGACCCAGTGACCATGACTTTTGGTCACTTATCTCCTTGTTATAGCTGACCAACATTGCTTCAAAGTGTCATAACGAAATGTTCACCAGTGAAAAGATACAAACTTTGACATCGACCTTTCGTCATTTGGTTTGGTTTGATCTTGTTTAACGTCCTATTAACAGTCAAGGTAATTTAAGGACGGCCTCCCCTGTTTGCAAGATGCATGCGTGTAGTGTATGTGTGTGTATTTTGGGAGGCTGGGATATATTCGTGTTTGTCTCCTTGGGATAGCGCGGAACTGATGCCGACTTTACAGTGCTACCTCACTGAAACATACTGCCGAAGACACCCAGCAGGACGTCCCACCCGGTCACAATATACTGACAACGGGCGAACCAGTCGTCCCACTCCTAATTTGCTGAGCGTTAAGCAGGAGAAGAAACTACAATTTTTAAAGACTTTGGTATGTCTCGGCCAGGGGACAGAGCCCAAAGCCTTCCTCACAGGGGCGAACCCTCAACAAATGGCCAAAAGTGAGGCATTTTCAAGGGAGATTTTAGGAAGAACGTTATTCAGAAAGGAGAGAAGAGATAAGGTCCCAAATTTAGTTGGTCAACTGACTCCTTGTTTAATTTCGACCAACATTGCTTCAAAGTGTCATAACGAAATGTTCACCAGTGAAAAGATACAAAATGTAACTTTACCTTTGACCCAATGACCTTGACGTTTGGTCAGTTGATTTCTTGTTTAATTCTAACCAACATTGCTTCAAAGTGTCATAACGAAATGTTCATCAGTAAAAAGATGCAAAAATTGACCTTGATCTTTGACCTTTCCTTTGACCTCAGTGTGTCTCTTTGTTTAATTCCGACCAACTTTGCTTCATGTCATTAAATGCTCATTAGTGAAAAGCTACAAAATTTGACCTTGACCTTTGACCCAGGGACTTATGACCCGATGACCTTTGGTCAGTTGACTCCTTGTTTAATTCTGATCAACTTTGCTTCATCATGTCATAATAAAATATTCATCAGTAGTCCAGTGGCTTAGCCCCAAATTTTGACGATTTCGATACACGCTGGTCCAAAGCACCAAAATTGGTACAAATGCTCCTTAGGTAATACAAAATCATTCTGCAGGTATGTGCCCGACCTACGACTTCCGGTTTAGGATTTTTCAAGATGGCCACCACCACCATTATCAAAAATAACCTTATTTACTATAACTTGGAAACTAAAGCATATACTTAGTCAAAACCAGTGTCTATACCCACTATTTCAGGGTCAACGAATGTGATGATAGTACTTTAATTGTAGCTGATGTCATTTTTGGACGTATTTGCTCATATTCCAAAATAGATGTCCTCTCGAATATCAGAAATCAACCGTTTTTAGATGCTCGTAGCATCTCTTGGAACGACCCTGTTCGTGTGTTTGTGTGTATGTCGCATGGATTTATTTAAGATGACGTCATCATTATGCGTGTATATCAGCTCATACCGCCATTTGAATGTTCCGACATTCGCACGTTAATAACTTCTTGTAAGAGGCTCCCCATTTCCCTGAAATAGAACTGAAATTGTACGGAGTCATAGCCAAATATGATTCATGGTATACTGTATAGTATGATTACGAGGTTTCACTATGTATCTACACATATACAAGTCCACATATACAAGTCTAACTTTACCACTAAATACATGTCATTTTTACCCAACGTCCGGCTCTAATTTTCCCCTTTCGACACTATTTTTCGAGGGTGCCCAATTTTCGTATAAATCACTTTATTTTCCGCGAGCATCTTTCTAGATTTCCTATTTTGTTTAATAACTTTGAAACAAAAGGAGCTAGAGAAGTGCAACTCATGTCTATGATCACTATATAGGTGCAGGTCAAGCAACCTGATTATATTACTATTGTGTTAACCAATGTTATATGTGGCCATATTTTGCCATATTCCAAAATTGATGTTATTGTTGGCATATTATATAAAATCACATTTCAACATAAAAGATGTAGAGAGATGTGATCTGTGCTTCTTTCCACTATTTGAATCTCAAACTGTACAATAAAGTGTGCTAATGATGAACAAAAAATTGATATTGAGATTAAACCAATGCTAGGGACAGATTGTAGTGGAACCATGGTTAGTTAGAGTTGTCTCTCTTTGGTCAGTTTTATAGGGTGAAAGTAGAAGTGAAAGTAAATTATTTCCCTTGTTTTAGCTCTTCTGTATTTGAAGATTTTTCGGACGCCATGTGGCTTGTAAACATAGCTCAAACAAATTTCAAGGCAAACTTTGATCCCCCACAGAGTAAGTATATTTTAACTGATTGTGTAGTATAGTCTAAATTGTGTATTACTTTCTTTATAAGCACAAACATGTAGAAACCACAGAACAAATGTAAACAGGCAGGCTCGTTGTATTTTTACCGTAGACGTAGTGTTGGATGATATGTAACAAAGCTATTTTACATAATGATAAACAGTTTTTACATTGTAAAAGAGTACAATTAGTCACAAAATGAATACCTATAGAGTTTTCGGTATGTATAACTATGTTTTACAGTAAAATTGCACAGAGCTACGTTCAAAAGTTAAAAGTATGGAAT